ACATTTTGTTGAATTATGAGACGGAAATTTAAATCTGTATTTACGAGCTTAAAGTGTATAGGCCTACGTTTGATTGCTTAAACTAGAAAACTTATAATTTTTATTTTCCTCGAACGCGAGTCTGGGTTCTCTCGTTAGCGAGGGAGTTAGTTAAGTAGACACTGTGTTAACAAGCAAACCAATGCTAAATGTATAGTGAATTAGTTTTTATATATTTTTGTCAGATTTGCATGATAATGTAGTATAAGTTGGCGATTTCTTGTGAAAGTTGAAACCTACGGAAAGTTTTAGCGCACGAACATCGCACCCGAAATAACAAGGGTAACATATTTTTGTATCCATCGAACCTGGTCAATTTATTTATTTTTGAATAGACGTGATATACACTTATGGACAGAATTCAGACAACTACAGAATTATGTAAATTAAACATTAATTAGCGAAGAACCATTTTTTATTTTCCCGCTCCCCTACGACGCGTTGCGGTATTCAAGATACGCGCTTGATTGAAAAGCTATCTAAGCAAATCACTTCATTGTTCTGTTTCTCTTAAAAAATATAAAATACGACAGTATATCATGGTAATTAATCAAATCTTTGTGTTTTAGAATTTATAAACCTTACTGATATTTTCACTTCATTTTAAATAATGGTTTGCTAGTAAAATTGCCTTTTAGACTCCAACTTTGTTGTCATTTTAATGATAACATTTAGCTATTGATCAGTAAGTGAATAAGAATAATATTTTTTTATAATTACCGAGTACATTTCACGCTAATTGTGAGACGAACCCTAAATGACGTCTATATGGGCGCCGCCATTTTGAAATGGACGTCACGTCAGGTTACAACGTAAGTCAACGGGAAAAAATATAATTTTAACATTTTGACCATATTACTGACTTTATGAAAAAAAAGAAAAACATGCCTAGAGATATTGACGTCAGGGTTAACATGACATTAATTTAAATGATTTTACTATTATATTAAATAAAAAATGGAATGTTCAAATTTGATGGGACAGACTATAACAGTAAAGCCTTGTAAAATATTGGATATAAGTACTGTTACAAAGAGAGCAGTTTTAAAACAAGTCGCTAGATTATTTGATCCTCTTGGAATGTTTGCTCCTGTTACTTTGAATGGAAAATTGCTGGATAAAGCATTATGATTGGTGCAATAAGCTTAATGATGAAGATGAACAAAAATGGTGAAATGTGGTTGATGATATAAACAAAATATCAGATTATAGAATAAACAGATGTGTTACTTTTGGTGATCAGTTCAGTGTGACAAATACTATAGTTTGCTTTTGTGATGCGTATGCAGTATGTATTTATTTGGTGCAATCTGGTGAGAATAAGTGCAATTCTGAACTAGTATTTGCAAAAACTCGTCTCGTGCCAACAACTAAAGTCACCATACCGAGACTAGAGCTTTTAGCTGTGTTAATATGATGTAGATGCATTGAATTTGTACAGAAGGAATTAGAACTACCGATAGCGAAAGTTTTTCTGTTTTCTGACTCTCAATGCGTGTTGAAATGGATCAATACTGAAAGACCTTTGTCTGTTTTTGTTGGAAACAGAGTAAAAGAAATAAAAAGTATAAAAACGTACATTTCTTATATGTCCAAACTGAGGAAAATCCTGCGGATGTGGCAAGAAGAGGTTGTTCCGCAGAAAGTTTGAAAGAAAAAAGAAAAAGGTGGAAAGGTCCTATTTGGCTAATCATGGCCAGTAAAAAGTATTGGTAACTTATAGACAGTTACAGAATATTCTGAAAGCATCATACCTTTGTCTGAAAATATAACAAATGAGTAGAAGCAAGTATCTTTAGTGAGATCATAGTCAAAAACAAAATTTCAAAGTCTACAGAGATTAAAAATGCGCCATTTGAAATAAAGTATGACAATTATTCCTCAGTGACAAAACTTCTGAGAGTGACAGCTGATACATTGCTTAGTTTTTTATTTGTGAGTCTATTAATAATGAAACAAACATGCCATCCTGCGAAATTTGTGAGAAAAAATTCACTAAAGCAAGAAATCTAAAAAGACATGTAGCAGAACAACATGGTAGTAGTAGAATATTTATATGCTATGTGGATACATGCAACACAACCTTTAAGAGAAGAAGCAATTTAACTCAGCATCTAGAAAAGAAACACAACTTTAATAAAGAAGACGCCAGATCAACATGCATTAAAATGAAACCGAAAATGCCAAGTTTAATCTCTAATGGATTTTATTCGGACATAAGTCACAGTTATAGTGACATCAGTTCTGATGACGAGGTTTTAGACTTAGTTCAAGAGTTAGACAGCTATCTTGATACTTACATACCGGAAGATGTTTCCAATACCTTTATTGATGATCTGCTAGATTCTACAGGAAACTCAACGGGAGATTTACCACAGTCAGTCACTAAGACCATTTCACAAAGAAGACAGCTGAGACGTAAACTACTTATACTTCCCAAGATGAGACGCCGCTGCTGCCCAAGGAAGTTACTGTTGATGACGTTACCAAGCAACATCAGAAGATTGCTGAAATAGACTTTTTACAATATACAGTCATGAAATCCATATTGATGTACTTTCCATTTATTGTATTGCTTAAATTTTTGGCGGGAGTGTCGCAAACTTTGCGAATTTTTGCAAGTTAAACATGTTTTGATTCATTAGATATTTTTGTAATTTTTTATAATCTTTTATAGCAAAGTTAAATTAAACTACTTTTCATTTGAGTATGCTCCTGACTTTGTTAAAGTAATAAGAAAACTCCTGAAAATGTATTATTTCATTGTAAACTCCTTTCTCTTTTTCCCTCCGCATGCTTTATATGCTTTTCTTGATTATTTTCCCGCCTTTTATTAGTAAATAAGCATAGATGATTTAGCATACCAGTCAGAAAAATTCTTTAGGTTCTTAGTGTGTACGGTCTTCTTGAAACTACTTTTGGATATATTTTGGATATTTAAAATTATTTAATTTCTGTGGTTATATTTAAAGATTAAAAAGAGTTTTATATGAGTAAAATATATATTTATATAGTTAAAATTGATGTCTGTTAATAAATCATAGTTATGTATCATATTAAACTGTAAAACGTTTCTTGTGTTTAGTTCTATTTTCTTATATTACTGAGTAATTGTTATGACAAATAGTTATAACAAATACTTAGTAGTAAAAAGCATAATACAAAGGACGAAATAAATTCAAACACTGTTTCAGTGTGGTATAAAGATTTCAGTCTATGAAACATTAGTTAAAAGAAAAAGAAAGTCTACCACAGTAACTGCTGATCTTAACACAATTAATTGTTGTTGTGTTTTTCTTTGTTGTTTGTAAATGTCTTTTGAAAAATTTATAAGACGTTGACGGGAAGTTTCATCGGTACACTGAATATTCTGACAATTGCTTCAGTTTAATGTTCTGAGAAATACTTTATCTATCACAGACTTAGGAAAGAGAGAAGAACGTTGTTATTTCTTAGTATGTTTATTATAAAGCTGTAGCTTGTGTTTGGAATCTAAATGTGCTTTTATAACTAGCGATTTAAATAGTATCCAACTAATATGACTAAGTGTAAGTCTGTTATTGACCCAAACAAATAATATAAACACTGGAACACTATAATTAAATAGTGTTGCCGTTATCAATAATGTCAATTATGAAAAAGTATCGTACTTCAAAACATTCTACCGATACAGTAATATGGTATTTATGTAGTGTTAAGTTCAACATGAAACGTAACATACATATATTCCAATCCTTGTGATGGGTCGGAACGGACAAAACATATATCAGATAAAGAAGACTTGAAGAAAAAGAAAAAAAATGTTTATGTATTTGCGAGAAAGATTTACACATAACTACAATTGACATGATGGTTGACAAAGTTAGGAAGAGATATTCGTATGTCACCATTTAAAATGGCGGCCGATAGATTTATGGAAAGAATCCGTTTACGACTTTTTAAATCACCTGTTATTAAATGACATCTTTAGATACGTGGTAATTGTAATCTAAGTATAAATAAATATATTGTGCCATCCAGTGAGAAATATTTCTTATATTTTTAGTACATCTTTAAAATCGTAGATATGTCTATTTTGATACATATTAACTTATATGTTATCGGAGGGAAGACAGTCGTATATATACGTATTTTAACTGTTGAACGGACGAATTCCATTGTAGTCGTTAAGCAATTAAGTTAAAGTGTTGTTTTGAGTTATTTATTTAGACCCCGGAGTTAAATAGTCGTCGATATTACGATTATTTGTTAACAAATGTTGTTTGTTAATTGAAAATTAAGTTTGACTTTGATGTCTTTATGTTTGGACCAGATTCACATGAACTCACAGAAAATGTATGTACGGCAGGGTTTAACTGAAGGAAATATTTAACGTTCTGACGTGTTGATTTGTTGCTACAGTCTTATCATTTTATATATCAGTGATCGTGAAATATTGCTCAAATTTCCTTTACGCATTGATCTTCATTCTGGGTATAATGTGCTTAAGGCTGGCTCAGGACATGTATTTGAAACAACTGGAAATCGTGGACAGTTTGTTCCTGTACTTGTAGAGGAGGAACCGGATGTCAAACTCGTTCGACTTGTTGCGATAGTGATCTTAATTTTGATTACTGTTTAGACGATAATTGTGGGTATTCACATAGCAGTTCACGTCAAGAAGTAAAATGATTTTTTTAATGAAGGTCACATTAAAAATAGACAGCATCATTGTCCGGATACATTTTATGGGACTTTTTGTAATTATGGTCAATCATTTTATCAATTTATTGAAATTAATTTCAAATCTCATTTTTTTTCTTTCAATCTTATCCAATATTTGAATTTATATATTGTTTTATGACTATTCGGCGACAATGAACTTTGATGTTGTAAGCATACATATTGTTCAGTGATAAATATTTGTGATGTCATGACAAGATGCTTTTGACTAGACTGAAAATTGATATATAAATTTTCAGAGTGCCCGCATATTGAGCATTGTAAGAGGAGAAGATGCAGTTCACCATGGGACACTAAGTGTCTTGAGTGTAACTATGATCAAATACTGTTCAAGAAAACACAGAACGACACAAAATGTGAACGTAAGTTGTTGCACATAATTGAGATGAAGATGTTCTTTTTGTATAATTAATATTTTATTGTCAAAATAGATGATCACTATAAAATTCATTTCTCTAATGTGTCAAAACAAGCATGGTAGTTTGCAACTACAAGTATGGGAAAAGATGGAAGGTAGTTGTTCATTTCTCGAATAATGGACATCTATATTTAAAAATAAAAGTGTATGATTATAATAATGGTGGAATATATGATTGATTGAAAATATATAGAATGATATTGTATAGTGTATATATTTAAAAAATTAATCGATTGGATATTGACCATTTTGTCTTAAATAAGTAATGAGACGTGTAATGTATGAGGATTGATAAACATTTCTCGGCCTTATGTACTTCCGGTATTCAGTGAACCAAACTAATGGTCTTACTTTTCAACATAATCGCCCTCTACATTAATGCACTTTGCCCACTTGTGCTCAAACTTATGTAACCCTTCCAATTAGAACTGTCTATTTTGGTCCTCAAAGAACTCAATGACCGCTTACATGACACCTTCATTACTTCCAAAACGACTACCACGAAGTTTGGTTTTCAGTTTCGGAAACAGGTATAAGTCAGGGGGGTGGGCAAGTCCAAAGAATATGGAGGATGGGGAATAATTTCAAAGCCGCAGTCAGTTGCGCTAGCCATCGCAACTTGGGATGTGTAAGCTTGCGCATTGTCATGCAGGAGCCGAACGCATTGAGTCACTTTGCCCCGCCTTAAACGCACAATTTCTTGACGCAGACGTCTCAATTCGTCTGCATAGTACGTACCGTTTATGGTACGACCTTGCTCAAGATAGTCAATCATGATTATCCCCTGACTATCCCAAAATAATTGAAGCCATCATCTTCCCTGCTGATAGCACCCTCTTGAATTCTCCGGATGGGGTGAGCCAGGGTGCTTCCACTGCATGCTCTATTGTTGTTGTTTTTTTGGATTCTGGATTGAAGGGATGGACCATGTTTCATCATGAGTTACGATCCAATCCGGTAGATAAAATCAAATTCATACTCGTAGCGAGACAAAAGATATATTGAAATGTCAAGCCTGGTCCGTTTCTGGTCGTCAGTCAACTGTCCGGGGACCCATCAAGCAAAAACCTGTGACATGCCATTAGTCAGAATTGTCAGAATTGTCTGAACTGAACCAAAGCTTATTACCACTTCCCTAGCAATGCTTCGCAGGTCTCGCCTTCTGTAGCACATGACCAGATCGTGCATAACTTAGGCAGTTTCAACGTAGGTGGCCTCTTTTGGCCGCCCGGGCCACTCATCTCCAATGCTCTCCCTGCCCCTCTAAAATTAAGCAGCCCATTTTTTCACAGTGCTATAATTGCAAGGAGACTCCTTCCCGAGTGCACCCTTGAGGAACAACCCTTTCTTACAGAGGTCTGATTTCAACTGTCTCTATTTGGTCTAAATGACACACCCCTCTACTGATCAAAATGTGTTTTATCTTACGTAATCTGTGAAAAAACTGCGTGTATCTCGATCAGTAATCTTCAATAAGATATCGGTATTGACGTATCGTGTGTGAATGTCATTGTAGTGGCTAGAAGTATATCGGGCCGAGAATTTTTTGATCATACCTCGAATGCATCCGTGAAAATTAAGGTGCTATTAGGAAAAACATGTTTTTTTAGCTAAAACATTATCAACGCTAATTCTACTACGGAAATTAAAAGTATGGTATGTAATAGGTTAAGTGTGTTTGTTTCGTAACAATATACACTTTTAAATTTAAAGGATGTAAATATACAATGTCATTTATATCATCTTAATGTCTCTTTAATGGTGGGAAAATTATGTGACACTTATGTTGACAATGTAAGTTTCTATTTCCTTGAGCCTGCATTTACACAACCAAATATGTACGTTTTCAATTTTGATATATTTTGCAGGTTTTTTTATTGTTAAGTTTTTCAGATCTGTTTCAGCAAATACTTATACACAATTTTTTGATTTGTTTGTTTGTTTCATTTTACGCCTTTCACTTATACACAAAACACAACCACATGCATCACAACTCCTGACGGAAAGTTTCAATTCAAAGATTTCTGATAGTTCTATGCCCAAACACAAATGTGTATTTGAGTATGTAAATAGTTTTCAATATGTAATGATCATAAAGACAAACGTTATTTTAATATGCATGTTGAGTCCTTGTCATTGTTTATATATGTTGCTTGTTGGATAACTTGTAATGTGAAATAGTGGATGTATCCCGGGCACTATTTAGTATTTATAGTAATTATCTATGACGGGGACAATAAACACAGTTACGTGTTGGGCAGTAAAATCACTGACCAAGGAAGTTAATTTAAATATATATGTTCCCTACTTCAACGCGAAAGACATAATTGGATTGTTTTTAGGCCCGAAAAATGTCCAGATTGCAATTATAAGAAAGGCCCCGTTACGGAGGTTATTTGATGTTAATGTATATAAAAATATGAAGGAAAATATATTCAAGTCTTATTGAGTGCAACTGAAGTCTATATAGCAAAAACTAAAATGTCGTCTTCTCTGGAGAGACAAAGCCTAGAGGTTAGATATGAGTACATATAAGTAGATCTGTAGCAAGAGTGTTCAAAATATAGCCCTTTAGCCTGCCCCGGGGATCATTGATTTTCATAATGAACATATAGTAAAAAAATAAAAATTATTCTTATCCGAATTGACACAGACAAGAGCTCAAACATTTGGCGTAAAAACATCGTCTAGTGGACCTCTATCAATGTTTTTAAAGGTTAGATATTTGGCATGAGATATTGTAAACCTCTACAAAGATTGTTCCATTTATGGCCCTAAGGATAATATAAGCTCCGCCTTAAAGGTCATTACTTTTCATTTTTATATTCATTAAACAGAAACTAACGGGGAACGCTAGAGCTTTGATATTCTACATGAAAAAATGTATGTTGGACTTGCTTCAAGAGTGTTCAAATTAAAGCCTTGGGGTCACACTTTTTTCCCTGCAGGTGACACAGTGACCTACTTTCTTGTCCTTTGATGTACAGCTATGGTGTTTGGACATTTTGAGAAATTGAAAACACTATCTTTCACATTTTTTACAGAAATTACAGTCTGTCCTCGGATGAGCGCTTTGGGGACAATGCCCCCTGTTGTTCGTGCGTTGTAGTGTAGACATGTATGGTTTATCATTCAAATGCTTTGTAATTTATCATTCAGGCTGGCTATGTTTTCAAATTAAACATCTTTAGTAGAGCTCAATACATAACTGATGTATTTGCTTATATTACCCCAAAAAGCTAATAGCTGTAAAATTAGACAATATCATGTGGACATAACGAATAAAAGCTGTCGAATCGGTACATATACAGATATTTAAAGCTCATATTTTAGAAACATTATTTCACTCTAGCAGTCAGTAATTTGATAATTGAAATCAGAGAATAAAAATCTGTATACTTGTATTTCAGAAATTCCACAGAATTTAACACTACATCTAGAAAATTCACCAAGTAAGGACCAGGATCTAACTAACAATGCAGTTACTTTAAAGTGTACTACTGGGTGTATTTCTTCAACTCCATCATTTATATGGTATTATTTGCAGGTAATACATTCCCAGGATAACGGGAAACTATAAATATCTTCTTTTTTAACTTTTCTTCTTTTTTACTGTGAAAGCAAATAATTTTCTCTTTTTCGGGCCAGAACCATCCATTTATCAAAACACTCATTACCAGGCATTAATGCTATTCTACTTTTCCTTTAGGTGGTCATATTTTCATCAAGAAATAATGAGCTTAAGTGATTTTAAGATTTGAACGAAGTGGTTTGTATAATTATATTATTGCGTATGTTATTACCATAAAATAACGAGAAAAACACATGGTGTGGGCATAATGATAATTTATGAAGTAACCCATGTCAATTTCTATATATCTCAAGATTTTACAATTTATATTCTTATTTTATAGTCGGATGGATCAGAATCTAAATGGTCAGATTCAGAGCCTACAACACATACAATTGGGCAATGCAAAGAATTTAAAAAGGTGTTTACCTCTACTTTAGTCCTTCGAAAATTCACGATTTTTAATGACAATACCGACAATACCGTCGGGTTTCAATGTGGTGCAACGATTATAAATGGTACCTCTGATGAAGTAAAAATACAGTCATCTGTAAATATCAGATTTGCCGGTAATTTATCTATTTTTTCTATATTTTTTTCATCTATGTCGCTGTTTATTTTAAAATTCATTTGTCACTTCACCATCATCTCAAGGAACTGTAAGAGCTCAACAGGTTCATGAGAGTGTTTATATACCATTTACATTATTGTTTATTTATTCTTGCCTATTTAATGTTATCGAGGTATCTTCAGTTTCCAGAATTCCAGAACTGGTGTGAAGTGTTGCATTACAGTCGATTAACTTTGTGATGTCATTCGTGTTATTGATTCCAAATTTTTCAGTGTTAAAGATTGAATACCATGAAAGACGCAATTTAACGAGTGTTTAATTGTCAACATTTTGCTTTGTTTTCATTGCTTTAAAAATCTTCTCTTCCAAGAATTTTATGGAAGGTATAATAATTATTGAACAAGGTGATTTTAATTTTAAATAAATATTACTCATAAGTGATCCTTATTAACTTCTGACATATTTCGTTATAGTACTGTAGTAGATTTCATACTAGTCATGTCTCATTTTACAGTTCGAGTAGCGAGGGTATCACTAAAGATTGAAAATAGTTCTAGGGTCAGTTCTCTAAACGTTACCGATGGTATTTCGGAAGTATTCAAATGTACAACTAGCGATAGCAGACCATTACCTACAATTGTATGGTATATAGGACGGACAGAAAAGAAAAGAGTTGTCGGTACGGAATCAACCCATGCATTCATACCTAGTATTTCGGAAAGTGGCAAGGAAGTGTATTGCAAAGCTTTCAATATTCAGCCAGAAAATGAAGCACTGTCCTCCAACAAAGTTTCTCTCTATGTTAGAGGTAAATGCAATCATGTATCTATTAAGGTATAATAACTGATTGTTTTTATATATTTTATATGTTTATAGTTTTATGTCTTAAAAGAAAATTAATACACAATAATATTTCTTAATAACCTGACAAAAATGCATGATAAAATGCATCACACCTTCAAAATTTCATGATTATGAAAAGTTGCTTCAAGACGTTTTACGACCATCAGGTCAAATGAAACACATTTTATTTTGAATTATTGCAAAATATTCAATGGAAATATATTACACGCCAATCATCTATTCATTTTCGTTTATCTAGAGCGTGCGTCAGTGAATTCGTTATATTTTGAAGAGCATGATGGTGAAGCAAACGTTACGATCGACGAGAACTACGAAAACTTGCAGCTTACGTGTAACATTAGCGGTAACCCTGCATCAAGTGTTGAAATTAAGTTCGGAGTGAAAAGATTAATTGAAAAGGCTAACATAAACCAATTAAGCTTTGTTCGACAGAGAGTGGCTTGTTTCCACAAGGGTGAATATACATGTGTAGGAAAAGATGAATTGGGAAATGTAACAAATAAAACACTCAATTTGTCTGTCAATTGTAAGTACATTTGTTCTTGTTCGTCAATAATATACTGCTTAAATTAAAAATATAAGGGTATATATAGGAGACAAAAATATAAATAATATTACCCCCAATATATCAGCGTGCGAAGACACACACAATATATTATGTTAAAGCCTTTGATTAATTCTTCTCATTAACATTATTTATCGATAAAAATGCTTAACTGTCCATAAGAGTAAAACAGTTTTTCTTTGTTTAAGGTCTTCCACGGCCTGATTGGCAAGCAATTTCGAATACAACTTGCTCTATAGGCGAGCCTGTAACATTAACATTTACTGCTATTGCATATCCAACGCCAAGTTCTGATGGTTTCAAATGGTACAAAAAAATCTCGAATGAATGGATACCATTACAAAGTAATAAAGATGTACAAGTATCAGTAATAGGACTGGAAACAAACCTTACGATTGTCAATGTAACTCAGGCAAACCTAGGCCAATATCGATTAACAGTTGAAAACAGCGTCGGAATATATAACCAGTATTATTTCCTTATTGAAAAAGGTAGGTTTCATGATTTTTGTATAACTTTCGATTTTTTTTAATTTTGTACTGTGCTGAATTGTTATCATATTAATGGGTTTTCCTTGAAAACTAATTTCAGAAACAATTTGTAGAACAATATCATAAAACAATGTGAGTGAGTACCACTGATAAGTTAACATCATCCAATTGATGGCAACTCAGTTTTGTCAAAGATTTCTTTATCCATTGGATTAAAATATGCGTGAAAATGTTATTTATTTCATAATAAACTCTCTTGTTTCAGATGACCCCAGTGTTGATGTTGGCATAGAAACAATAGAAAGTAGTGATTTCAAAACTGCCACAATTATATTGGGAATAATTACTGTCATATGTATTGGTACCTCAGCTGGGATAATAATTTGGTTTAAACGAAAAACCAAAGGAACAGGTAACTATGTCGTAATGACTTTGATGATTGCCATCTGTATTATATAGAGGATATTTGTTTAGTTCAGTGTAAGATCGGAATATATTTCAACGAGTGAGCACCAAAAGGTATATTTCACGAGTGGCGCAGCCACGAGTGAAATATGAACTTTTAGTGTTGTTAAGGTGAAAAATATTTCGATCTTACACTAAACTAAACAAATTTTCTTTTTATTACATGCAAAGAAACGTTTTAAAAAGACTTTAAACCTAATACTGAATGAAAAGCGTGCCAAATTATAATACAACGTGACGTCATTTACGACGTCACTTCATTAAGTTGGTACTCAGTACTGTGCACGCTGTTATTTCACTGAAACAACATAAGGGGCTTAAATTCAAAACAGTGAAATTATCAAAGTGGTAATTTCACTGTTTCAAACGGTGAAATTACCAGTTTTATATCACTGATATATTTCTATAAACCACCGAAAAGCATGTAGTAAAACCTCTTTTTAATTTTCCATTCCGCTTTTATCATAGGATTCAAACATCTTAGGTTTTAATCCAGATTACAATTTGACAATGGTAAACACATAATTATATTAAATATATTTATTATTTAATAATTTATATTACATTTTGTTCATAATATAAGTCTTAATTTAAGTAAATGCGCAACAAAAAAACATGTATATGTACGTATAAACTTATTTTTCAGTTTGAAAGATAACTGCAATTGATCTAAACAGTGCAATCATACAAAATATGAAGTTCAAACTTCATAACTTGTATAAGGTGATTAAGAAATAGCATAAATTAACCGCCTTCTATTATGTATTGGTCGTTGATCCATGTAAGCATTTATCATTAATGTCATTTATACATTTCATATCAATGTTAAGGTTTCAAGTTTAATACGTTCATTAGTTTAAAATAACTTGCATAAAAAAAATTACAACGTACAAAACCTCGATGCAATTTGTTGATGTGTTCACTTATTTGTATACATAATGCAAATATATGAAAATCATCTACATTGCAGATAGAAAATCATGCACTAAGTCTTTACATCAAAGGTATGTGTTTCTGTTTCGTTTTTTAATAAATAGTTTCTTGTATTTAAAACATTTACTTTTAATTCTTTAACTGTTGAAGCATTGTAATTAAATACAATCCAGCCTAGTGGAGCATTTTCAGACAAACAAATATATTTACGAGCGACAAAACATATTTTAAAAGGTCAATAGTCACGCAGCATCCTCATCGTCTACAAAAATGAATGAAGGAATGGCTATTAATCTTTGATTAAAGTTGAAGATAAACATATTTAACTAAATTACATTGCGTTTGCAAATTAATAAATACCGTAAACTTTATTTTCTTGTATTTTCATAAGCCAAATTGAGAGCTTTAACAATGAATCATACGAAACAGAAATGCAGGAATGTACCGGACGTGTATACGAGAATCTACCGCAACAATATGCTGATTTAAATGCGTTACCTAGAGACGACATGACAAACTATGACGTTATAGATAATAGGCTATAACACGAAAGTACAGGGATGTCTTTAGACACTGGACTTTAGAGAAAACATTAACAATATCACAGTACAATTGCAGCTTAAGCTGCTATTCATTTCTGACCAGCTTGTATTTGTCTTCTTACTAATCGGGTGGTCTATTTATAAAAGAAAATATATCCTCAGATCTAAGTGAGAATGCTATTCATTTCTGATCAGCTTGTATTTGTCTTCTAACTAATCGGGTGGTCTATTTATAAAAGAAAATATATCCTTAGATCTAAGTGAGAATGTGATATTTTTATTTACAGAATATCTTATGGAATGAATAAATTGCTTTGTGAACGAATTCAAATGGTGACCTAAGTGAGAAATGAATATGTCATATTTAATGAGTACCTGTAGCCTTTTTGTTATTCAAGAAAGGAGATTTTGCTTAAAATAATAATGTTACTGTTACTGTAAGTGTGAAAGCGTGTAAAATGCGTTCGAGCAAATGTATTAATTATATAGCCATTCGCCATTTATAGGTT